AGTCAGATTCAGTGAGAGACAAACTTCAGTCATCGTGATCTGGAATCACAGACTTTCCAAGAACACCTCAACACAAATCCGAATTGATTAATCACATATTTGATAGATTAATCCACTAGAGATCATCTTGCGATTTGATCACACCAGCTGTGATACCTGTCGTCATGTTGATGTTCCAATCCAGTGGTTATTACCATATTATTTCATGAGTAGTCAACACTCATGAATTGGACTATCCCCACTCTTTGACATAATACAACCCTTACGCTAACCCTACGCTGAAGTTAATTCTAACCCTAAAACCCTCAAACAGCCATTTGAAGTTGCGTCAGAAAACCTTCTTGTCTTACATTTGCTGTGAGGACACTGGATGACATAATGCATTCCCTGGTCCTTTACCTTTACCTGAACTATCACAAACAAATGCCCAACCCCACCCTTTACTTTTACCTTAACCTAAACCTAATACTAGCCCTAAAACCAAGTCTTAACCCCCAAAATTTCAGGGTTTCAAACCACAATTTGTCCTCACAACAATAGAAAGACAATTCAAGGTTCACAGTAGTTTAAACTGTAGTTTACATGGTTTAAGTGACTCACCTTTCTGCTTAATGTCAGTATTTTCTAATCAGTTGTGGGAAAAGTATCCAGATCTTTTACTTTAGTAAAAAATAACAATAACTTCATTACAAGAAAAAGTCCTACATTTTAATTTTTATTGTATAAGCACATAAGTATTAGCAGCAAAATGGACTTAAAATATCATAATTAAAAATACTTATGATGCAAAATTACCTGTTTCAGTTTGATATTAAATGATCGGATTATTATTATTACAGATGCATTATTGTGGCTCTACTATCAGCGTTTTATGTTGTAGCAGGTGAAAGTAAGGACTTTTTATACTGTTGGGTTGTTTATCATCTATATATGCATTATATATATATATTTTTAAAACCCATCATGTAGTTTGTTATGTAAATCTTCGTCTGCAAAGTAATCAGTAACTGAAACAAAGTGAAGTCAAATGTAAATTCCCTCTGAAATGTAGTGATGTATAAAGTCGCACTAAATAGAGACACAAGTACCTCAAATTAATGTACTTAGTTATTTTCCATCACTGGCACAAATACTTCTTTGGCACATTTTTCAGGGTGTTGTTGAAAATAGAATTACTATGGTCGTTCCATATTTTTCATCATGTTGTCAAAAAATGTTTGTGTTGCCAAAACAGTAATTTCTAAAACAAAATGTGATTACTTCCACAATTTTTCATACTTAGTTTCAAAAATGCCCAGAGTGAGAGTCAGTGGGAGATGAAGTTGTTTGGAAATGACCTGTTCTCAAACTTCCCCTACTTCCTCCTTTCAATTAGTGAGTCCACATGGTCCGGGGTCACAGCCTCTCCAAGAACGCCTTGCTACACATCACTACCGCTTGTGCTCTGTCTGTCCTACTGTCTGCTCGCGAAAAACAACATACCAGCAGTTAATTTGTGTCCCTGTGAAGAATGAATGATGCCAGTTCAAATCCATTCCTACATGAACGCGGGTGTTCAGGTCACATCTCAGACCTGCACTTGAATCTCCACGGTGTCTGGAGGACCTTGTGAATCACTTACAGATAATCAGACAGAAAGGAATTCGTTTCTCGGGGTCGTGTATCTTGCCAGACACATTTCAACATCTGTCTTCTTCAGGAGAGAAGTCACAGCTGAGGCATTGCTCAGAGAGTCACAAGATTTCAGTCATTTTTACGCCTCCAAGCCGACGACAGCCGTGGCCGGATACATTATCTTTTCGGGTTGTCCGTCCGTCTGTCCCATTCTCGTGAACGCCTCATCTCAGTAACACCTTGAGGGAATTTCATTACATCTGGCACCAACATTCACTGCGACTCAACTCGAGGATGAACTGACTAGAATTTGATGCTCAAAGGTCAAAGGTCAAGGTCACTGTGATCCTATCCTAACCCAATCAGTGTATAACTGTACACTGAGCTTACTTTACCTTTCTTTTTACACACTGCTGTTTATGGCACGGCTGTTTTTTGGAGTTCACTTGTAAAGGACAGGTTGAAGGATAGGTAGCCAGGTGCCCATGTGTACACTGAAACTGTTCCTGCTGTAATCATTCCTCCTGTTCATACTGGATATTAAGAGATCCTAAAGCACTTTTAGTGAAAGTGATTGGGGACAAAATCAGGCCCCAGTGTATTCAGAAGCTTATCTGAAGTTATTATGAGGTTTCAGTCGTCTGAGTCGAAGTCAGTCTTTTTGAGCTGCTGTAACTTTGGAAGATATCCACTTGATCCGTCTAACTCAGGCTGCTGAGGCCTCACACAAGCTTGTGGATTTTGTCCCCCACAGTGTGAACAACTTGTTTCCATATTCACATGGTCACCTGACTGTTGGTTTAAGACAGACTTGAAAAAACGTGGACCTATCCTTTAAGCTTTGAGTCCCTTGAGCAGAGAGGAGACCATGCCCAACATCAGAGCTGATTTGAGCTGTTAAAAGTCTCAAACGCAGCCCCACTCTTCACCTTACACACCATTTACACTGATTAAACATGTGTTTCTTAATGTTGGTTTTACAGGATCTATCTACCCGTCCATCCAGTCGGTCCATCCCATTGTTTTGCAACTGCAGAGGATGTTTGTACTGTCAGTGTGGTGTGTGTGTGTGTGTGTGTGTGTGCTGAGTCAGCCTGGTAGACAGAGGCTTTCCGAGCCAAAGCCCGGCATCACTGCACCGCAGCAGCCTGATGTCTGCCTGCAGAGAAACATTAAACCCAGAACGACACAGCGCAGCACTCCACAGGCAGACATTAATACTGTCACCACACCTTCAGTGTAGATAGATAGATAGGTAGATAGATAGGTAGGTAGGTAGGTAGGTAGGTAGGTAGGTAGGTAGGTAGGTAGGTGTGGTTATACAGTCAGACATGCTCTCTTCACATGTTTAAATGGCAGCAGTAGCAGTGGTAGTGTGCAGTAGTTCACGTGTTGCTCCTCCTCATGCGAGGCCACTCCCTGAATTCCAGCCCCAGATCCCTCTAACCAACAACAGCTACTGTAGCTCTGCTTCTGTCTCACTCTCCAGAGGGAAGTCAGACCCACAAAGATGCACTGAGAGGGATGAAATGTAGGAAAAACAAGGAGATTTCTATGTATATTACATCAGTTGCGTTTCTTTTCCTATCAATGTTTATCTGTACAGCTCCTTTTAAATAAAGTGATATGTAAACAAATAAATAAATAGTAAAAGGCACCACAAAGGCTTCATGGAGCCACATTTAATTAGATTTCATCCAAAGCAGCCATATGGGAAGCTTTTTGTTTTTGTTGTTAAAGTAGAATTGACAGTGGGAGGTAAAAACACTTAATACAGACAAGTATACAAGTCCAAGTTTGAGTAAGTGGTATTTTATTTGATTATTTCTATTGCAGCGTTTCTCTGACTGCATTGATCTGACCGCACAAGTTACTGCTCACTCTCAAGATTAGGATTTTTTTAATGTTAATGCGAAATTGCTAAATATTTTAAAACTACCAAACAGTACACAATGCACCCTCTAAATACTACTTGCATGTTGATACATCAATAGTTTTGTTTTCTGTTGTGGTATTTGCAAGTTTTGTGTCAAGGTTTTATTGCCCTGTAGAAGTGCAGATGTGTCTGCAGCAGAGGTGATGGTGAAACATGAGATTAGGCCTCTCGCTCAGTACTCAGTACATGACTGGGATGGTTTCCATGGAACCCTTTACCCCACTGTAAGAGCCTCAGTCACTTATTTTACCATAAAGCGCAGAGGCTGGTTTTATGCACCTGCATCTGACACCAGCTGTTAGTGACAAAGCTGCAGAAACACCAGACAGCAGCATCAACAAACGCCACTAAACATACTCTCTGAATTTGCACCGTCATGCTCACCATCAGCACACATCTGCTTGTCCATCAAATGGCCACCAGGGGGCAGTCTCGGCTTTCATTTGACTCAGGCTCGCAAGGAAAAAAAAGAATGACTCCACTTTGATGCCCTGAGCTGAGACTCCCAGGCTGTGGGCGTTCTGTAACGAACTCTAAGGTTCAAATGCTGTAGGTTACGCGTGTTTAAGATTCATATCGGAGTTAAGATTTTAAAAGGAGGAGCAGGATTTTGCTAAAACTGAGAGGAATGTTTCGCCTAGGAAGCAAAGCTCAGGGCGAAAAAGTCCAGCCAGTAGCAGAAAAACAGAGCCCTACCATAAACCACATGCAGTCAGTCATGTATTGACCAATACCTCATTATGTATGCATGGCTGGCATGTAGTAAGGCACGTTCTTCTGGGAGGTTGGTAGAAGTGACTGTGTAATTATCAGCTTCATTATCAGTGTTTGTAATCTGGATGTAGTGTATGAATCTTTGTCAACATCACCCAACAGTCCTGAGTGATGTTGCGTAATGAGGCAGTTTGTCAAAGAGTAAAGACTCACACAATGAAGATAGGGTATTTTTTTACTTTATTATTGAATAAAATCTATAAAATATTCCACAAAAAATACATTACATTATCAATTATCATCTTATTACCCAGCAAACTCATCCTTCAGTTACATTTATATATAATCAGCATCAACAACATACGGCTTGTGCTTTATAGACCCTGCTGACACTCTTTTGTACAATTATAAATAACACTGCAGCTTTCTGTTTATTGTAGTCAGTCCTGTCTGATAGATTATATAAGTGAAAAAAAAAAAAACAACAGAGAAGTGGTTTATTTCACAGGCTGAAATCCAACTGATTCACACTGGATGTCTGTGCAGAGCCATTAGGAGCAAAAACAAGTTGTTGTTGAAGCAGCAGTGCGCTCCTCGTACATCTCATGTGATTGGTCCATGGTCTGAGTCTGGGCAAAACAAGCTGTAAACCCCTCCTACTGAACGAGTGACGCAAGCTGCTTCATCCCACCCCTCCTCCTCCTCCTCCTCCTCCTCCTCCTCCACGTCCTCCTCCTCTTATTTTTCCCTCCTGGCCCTGGCTGCCACCTCCTCCCTCAGCTAGTTCACTGTCAGCCTGTCAGGATACATTAAGCTCATATGCCAGTGGTGTTCAGTGAGCGCGGAAAAAAGGCCAAGAAAAGAGGGAAGAAACGATGACGGTTCTGTGCTTTACATAAAGCCCCAATCTTAAGGTTTTTTATCAATGAAGCACGAGCTCAGACGGCCACAAACACCTCAACACGAGCGAAAATTAGGTTCAGTAGTAAGGCACGTTGTCGACATGAGACCAGAGATGGAGATGAGGACGGATTACTTTGGTCTGACAGGGTAGCGTTGGATTTTCAGCCGAGATCAAACAATGAAATAAACTCCACTAGATTGTTTCTATCAGTAACAGATAGTCTATGGCTCACGGTGTGAAACAGGAGTGTCCAGGTTAACTGACAACAAACAGACATCAGGAGGTAGAACAGGAGTAAACCACAGATAGTGAAGGTCAAGCATTCGATTCATCGCAACCTTCCTCTCACTGCATCTCTTCTATTGGACAGGACATTGGAGTTTCAGGTAGAAACACATATAAAACTTTAAAAAAATAACAAAAAAACATTGCAATAAAACTTCACACCATCAAGGCCATAAAAATACATAGGCTTCCATTGTCATTTACAATTCTGAGACATGGCAAAGTTGTCCTGATTGTTGACTTGAGGCAATCAGCTCCTCAGTCAGAACCAGACTGGGATTACATTACTATTTAAAATACATGTTTTATGCTGCGTTCATGTCACGTTAGATTTACTGTAAAATACAAGCTGCCAAGGAGGAATAACTTGAGTGTGTTTCTTGTACAGGCTCTGATACTTTGTCCCATTTGGTGTCACAAATGGCGCACGGGGGTCAACGAAAGCAACGGACATGGCAGCCAGCACACTGACAGTCCATACAGAATCAAAATGATAAGTTACACTCACACCCAAACAATAGACTCTACATACAAAGCACAAGTAATATCTGCTGCAGTTTGTGGTTGATTTTTCATTCATAAATAAGAATAATAATAGATAAAGGCGTTCCAACAAGTTAAACATTTTACCTTTTCTCTACCCGACCGAGATGTCATCCCATTTTCACCCGCTTCTTGTGACACAACGTGAGCGTGGCATTCAAATCCCAGGGATTGGAAGCTTACTTCTTTGGCTAGTAAATCCCCCAAATTCAGTGGCCACATTCTCACTTTCACCAGCCAAATGCCCCCCCCCCCCCTCCGACTGCTGAACCAAGAGTTCAAGAGGCTGATGTCCGTTTCTAATTTAAAGATCCTACATGGTGCAATAAAAACACCATTCAGTCCCAGTGCTGAAGGAAACCCAGGCCTTTGCCCTCCTGGCTGGCTGAAGCACACCCTCTTAAGTAATTGAAGGGATTTCAATTAATAATCAACCCAGGTCTGATCTAACAGCCCGAGTGACGCACAGCCCACGGCAGCTCAGGTTCCTTCTTCCTGAGCTGTGGATTCACTCAGAGACCTGCTGCTTTTACTAAAAGTTGACAAAACAAGAGAGAAAAGTGGCATTAACACTCGAGATATTTAAGGCTCCACCTGCATTTACAGTCTTACTGAATGAAGGAAAATCCACCTTTGACACTCTTACACCGTTACAAGCCATCAGGTTGTGACACTTCCCCCACAAGTGTTGCAATACTCTTCGTGTAGTGACTTTGTACAAACATGTCTTATCCACCGTTACTACAGATTTTTCACAGGTGACTCAAGAGAAAACCTGTTTTTTAGATGAAAAGCTCAGAGTGTATTTTTGCTTGAAAGATGATGCAACTAATTAATCCATTATAAAAATTGTTGGTGATTAATATTCTGTCAATCAGCTAAACAATTAATCGTCTGATTGTTTCTGCTTGAGGTTATATTTTCTACCATTTAACTTCTCAGTGATTTGGGGAACTATCGTGTGTGTTTATGTCACCTACAGGATGTTTGGTCAGTGACAACCGCAAAACTGTTACAAAGTGGATTTTCCTAATACCGTGAGAGATTTTAAACTGGATTCTTCATCCAGTACAATAAATATTTTGTTTCTGATTTGAGGCATCAGCTCGTGTACATAACTTAATGCTGGATGGTTCCTTATGAATGAATTAGTGTTTTATTCTACCTAAAACCAGCTGAAGTTCAACAGATTTTCAACCAAAATGTCAGATTGAGCCTTAAAATATCCAAGGTTATGTTAAAGTTCTTCGACCCTAAAATCAGTCTTTGTTCAGAGTAGCTGCGATCAGATTCCAAATCCTTCGATTAACCAAGTGAAGTAAATGTTCATGAGTTCGTCTTGGCGATCAGGACTTTACCAGAATCTCCATGATGTGGTCCAGCTCATTCAGGTCCATTAGACACGACTGAAGACTCCCAGGTGAGCCGTGGCTGGGAGAGCGCATTTTCACGTCCTCATCCGCCCAGAGCGACACACTGACGGGCCACAAAGAGCCTGACGTCCACGCGGAGGGTAGATCGGAAGTCTCATACATTGATGTGTCAATGTCCTCAAAGATGTCGTCCAGGGCGAGGTCGCTGAGGTAGCCCATGGCGTTTACTGCATCACTAAAAGCACTGACCGTCGCAGCGGGCAGTGATTTCTGCTGGTCGGTGGAGCTGTTAGCCTCCTGAGAAGGGAATTCAGGGGACGGTGGTGGCGACAGAGACAGGTTGTCCTCTTCACCCTCTGCACACCCGGGGCATGTGACCGGCATGTCCTCCCTGAAGTCGTCCCTGAGAAGACAGGAGTCAGGGTGGACGCCGTTGAGGAGTACGTCCGGGCTGCAGGTTCCCGCTCCGTCGCTCCGCATGTCCTCCTGGATCTGCCTGAGCGTGTTGATGAGCAGCACGGAGCGACGAAGGCTGAGCTCCATCCCTGCCTGGTAGCTCTGGAGCTTCTCCAAGCAGAGGCCGAGCACCAACTGACGCTGCTGCAGGTGGCTCATCTCGGATTTGGATGGACCCACAAGGAGCCCATCCTCGTCCTCCGTGCCCTCCTCCCCATTCTGCTGCTTTTCCTCCGGCGCAGCAGCAGGGAGCACCTCGGCCTCCAGCTCCTCCAAGCAGCTCCACTTTCGCTTAACGCCACGACCCAACATCGACCTTGATCAATGGAAGAAGAGTTCACCAGTTATAATGTGATAAAGTACAAAATGTGGCTCCTTTCACTATTATCTGACATTTTATAGACGAGCTGACTAATCACTTAATTGGTGTAGAAAATAATCAGTAGATTAATCGATAATGAGAATAATTTTTCGTTGCAGCCCTAATATTAACTATGTATGACTTTGTTGTGACTAACTATGGGTGTGCAAAGATATTTAAAAGTATGTCTATTCTGTTTATGATGTGTATATGTGATTATCTTGATTTTAATATGGATCGTTGGAGAGTACCCTTGAGCTAAAAGAGATACAAATAAACACATTAACAAATAGAAAACTAAGAACACAAGACAATTTTGGCGCTTTACTTTAAAAATGATTTAAACAATTGATAATCAAAACGTCGCTGATAAATTTTGTATAGGTTGATTAATTGACTAATCATTTCAGTTCAGACATAAGCAGCTGTAATTAGAGAAGTCACTGGTAGAGACTTTTTATCTGCTAAATTGGAAACTAAATGAGAAGCCAACTTTGACAACAGTGGCAGAGACAGATGTGGGATCCCATCAGCCTGCACTGCCAATGTAGTAAACCCTGCATCCAGTTTATATAAGAGCACCAACCCTGCAAACATGACTACTTTTCCATTCACTTTCACTTCAATAGCTCCAAAAGAAAAAGTGGCACTGACATCAAAAATACAATTGCACACAAATATTGACTAAACTGCGCAAGTTTACAGAGTGGATGTGAGAGTTTTTTACATTTTAGACAAGTGAACATTTTAACTGTCATGACTCACTGTTCGACACCCCTGCTGACTGAAAGACTTTACTCATCCATGCAGACATTTGTTACCTACACATCACTGTCTCACAGATGTTCTTCTTATAAGAAATGGGTGCACACGAAACCCCATTTGATGAGAGTTTGACCCCCATCTGAGGAGATTAAAGCTGCTTGGTATTATTTAATATAGTATTTAAGTAAAATCTATGAGTAAAGAGCTTATCCGTACATTTTCTCTCCTGAAACTCGTGAAAATGAGAATAATTTCACTCTGTCTTACTTATATTGCCCAGGACCCCCAAGAACAACCCTAACCCCTTTGCGGTCCCCGGACTTCAGCAGGAAAAGACCCCTTTTAAACCAAGTTTAAGGGGGAAACTTGAGGAAATTTTAAGAGAATAATAAAATAAGGTTAGAAAACAACCTTACGTGCCCTTGGAAAGTGTCATGAGGTGTAGAAATCCTCGTGTTTTCGGCTGTTGTCGCTTCGACGCCGCGTTCTTCTGCTATCGAGCCCTGGAATATGAGGAATGTGCTGCCAGTCCATCCACAGCAGCGGGGGGAGCACTGGAGCTCAGGGCCGGCTATGATTGGTAGACTCACCCGGTGATCAAGCCTCCGCCTCCGCCACTCACGGGGCAGCGAATGTGCGGCCGTCTGTTCCGGCGGCGAGCTGCCGCTGCGTTCAGGTGAGGCTCGTAAAAATCATGAACAATTTCGAAGCACACGTGAGCGGCGAAAGTGGTCAGCGTGATGCGGAAAATGTGGGTTTTTATTGTAGCCAAGGCTGGATTACCAAAAACAACAAGTTTACTCCGCATCACGTGGGTCCACATTATTGGATTAATCGCAAAATTGTTAGAAATTAACACTGATGTACAATATCCACTATGATGGCACCTCCATCTCATGGTCCTAGTCTTGTAAAGGGTCATTGTGTCAACCTCTGGTTTTGATAACCACATTGTTAAATCTATAATGAGCTAATTTGTTGCAAATTAGTTGTTTTTTTTTATCGAATTGCTTTATTTTTCATTAGTCAGTCATTAACATCATGAACATTAACAATCCTCAGAATTCAACCATCATAAGAGTCCTGTAAAGCTGCAACCATCAATTATCTGACAATAATTTTCACATTTATCGATTGTTGAGCATATACATTGTCAGAATATAGAGGAAAATGACATTCATCATTCCCTGAAGTCCAAGTTACCATCATAGAAAATTTGAAAAACTGGCAAACAATTCAGATTTGAAAAGTTAATACCAGTACATTTATAGCATTTTTACTTAAAAAAGTGATTTAAACACTTAATAAATTATCAAAATGATTGCCAATTAATGTTTGGTCAATTGACCAATCAATTAATCAACTAATAATTTCAGCTCTAGAGTATTGGTTGGTCTCTGGGTACCAGGGGAAATAATTACTCCATTACATTTATTTGACATCTTACGTTACTTACTTGTTTTCAGATTGAAACATTGCATAAAAAAAAACATATGATCAGTTTATAAAATATGACACACGGATTAAAGATTAAACCAGTGGCTCCCAGCCTTTTGGACTTGTGACCCCTTGTTTCAGATGGTCAGGAGTTGTTAGCAGTTCCACCAAAAACAGATATTCCCTATAAACATTTCTAATAAAGCAGTAAAGCTCTCCAGTATGTCATAAAAACATCTGGAAAATACAAGTCCAGAGAGAGAGATCTGGAAAATGATAACATAACTTAGTTTTTTCTTCTTTCCAGCCTCATTAATCTTCAGATGACCCCTCAAATTTATCTTGTGATGCTTTATGAGGGCCACGACCCCTTGGTTGGAAACCACCATGAAACTATTTAACAGTATAAAAAGTATCTAACTAGTTCTACCTCCCGTTAGATATCAATCAGATTTTCTGAAAAACAAATACTTTTATACTGATACAAATATACAAATAAATTGAACTGATAATACTTTATGTATTTATATGTTTTGAAGGATATTTCTAAGCAGAAAGCAGAGATAGCTTTATGTGAGACACCTTTCATGCTACACCCCCCCGCCCCCCCCCCCCCCCCCCCCCTTTAAACGCCATGGGTGAGAGCCTTTGCCACAGCTATAAATTATCTGTGAGATCAATTGCAGCTTGGACCAGGTACCAAACCGGGCCTGGTGTTTACATTTCAAGACAATCAAAGACCTTTTTGGAGGAAGCAGAGATAAGACTGGATCAGCTAGCGACTGCTAATGGCACTGAAGAGCCACATTGCAGACCTCACAGACCCCTTGAGTAGCAGAGGGCTGTTGCCCTGCTTTGACCGGTGGCTAACCTCTAGAACTCTTTCAACCTACATGGAAACAGAAGAATATCAAGACAAGATTTAAAAAAAGGAAAGTTAATTCCTTTCAAAAGTTAGTTTGTGCATTATAGACAACAAGAGAAATGGCTGTTAGTTTTATCGTGCTGATTCTGAAGTGAAATCACTGGTCAAATGATTTAACGACATATTTCCCCAAACTGAGTTAATTTTCCCTACACTGACTAAAACCACTATTGTGGCTGTGATACTCGATAATATCAGATCAGTTTTTATCTATGCTGTCATTCTTTAACTTTTAATTATCATGTTCCTCTTTAAGTATTTCCATAAAACAGGATTTCTTGATTTTGTGGCTTACAACTTGTTTTTTTGGTGCCAAGTAACTGAAAAAGTTGTGAAGTTGTCATGTGAGTTTGAATGAAAGAGGAGGCCCAAGTGGAATATGTAGAATATGTAGAAATTCTCATGTTTTTCAAGTGTTTACACATTAAAACAATATCAAACAAATATCAGTATATGTTAGAAATATCTAGAAGGCCCAAAGTTGCAGTGAGCCCCTGAACGCAGCATTTTAAAGGGACAGATGACTCAGAAGGGAAGGGGGAGGATGTGATCAGAAAGAGGAGAAGGCAAACGCCAAATAAGGAAACTCTTCATGCACGTTTTTCCGCCTCTTCCTCCTGAAGCTGTCACAGCGAAACTTGTACTTCTTCTTTCCACTTTTTATGAACATAAAGTAAACATTCAACATTACGGAAATATTGCATTGGATTGTCTGATGACCTACATTTAGTTGTGTTTTGATGACAGAACTGCATGGCGACTGAAAACCACCTTAAAACCCAAACAGCTAATGCGCCTGTGCGCTCTTTAACTTTCACATCGGTGCTAAAAGATCAAAAATACAGAGAAACAACAAGATTTGAAAACAGTTTACCTTTGTTAGACAAACACAGAATTTAACCACAGGGTCTGTTCTTGTATTATTTCCAACCAAAGTGTTCAATTTGAGTGTGGCAAAGGGTTTTCTTGACTTGAGATCTCAAGTTTAAGAGCAGCCCCTGAAGGCAGCATGAGACCAGTGGCCTGTTAGTACTTATTAACCCTGAACTCACACACGTTTTTAAAGGTGGTGTAGCTTCCTGGCAGCAGACAACACATGATTAGTCATGATTAACACATGTATTATAAGTAGAGTATGCTGTATATTATATAGAAGGTCAGAGTAATTCCTTCTAGACAGGTCAGAAGTTAAAAAACATGCCCCCTTAACATCACATGGTGTAAACTTTGTATTTCTTCTGCATCTCTGAAACACTGCATGGATTCTCTGCATCGCATTCATCGTGTTTTCTCCGTTGCTGCTTTTTAAGACACTATAGTCTCTTTCTCTGATGACTTGTTTTTTCCTCGGGCTGCCTTTTTTTGCTGACTCACCAAGAGGCCATTAATCTTTAACTATAGGCTAACCAAGACTAGGCGGCAGGCCAACATGCAGAGCAAGCTACAATTTTACGCACAAATACCTTCTGACAGCTTCAGACAAGACTTTATGAGAGTTTTATTTAATTGCTACATATTTAAGAATATGAAAGGTCTCTCTTCATTTGACTGAATAGCGGCATTCATTATTAATGGAACATTTAAAATCAGTTTAGTGAGGCTCCAGTGTGAACAGGTTAGCTGTCTGCATGTAGCTGCAAACAAACAATAGTCCTGTTCAGTTGAATCCATTGCAAGTTTGTATCTCTGCAAATCTAATGCAGGATCTCATGCTCCAGTGTCAACATGTGAGACAGCACGTGAGGACAAAGCTCCCACTGCAGCTGGGCCACATCTAATTCATGTTCAGCATTTTTACATTACAACAAAGGTAACTCTGCTCGGGAAACACAAACACTCTCAGTTACTGTAGCAATGAGAGGCACTAAACACCTCCAGGATTTACCCGATTGTTCTGAGGACAAGTTTTTGCATGTACTACAGCAGGTCCTGCATGCTTCACAACTGTCTGTCACATCTCTACCTATCCAACACTTAGTTTGGAAATTGTCAAGTAGTGAAAGCTGAGATTGAATGCTAAGCTGTATTTATTGTTAGATCAGATGTTTCCTGATCAATGCAATAGTTTTGTTTAAAATATTTGATGTAAAACAAGTATAAACACTGTTAAATGAGACTATGTAGGCATGTTTTGTTAAATCAAAGGATATTGAGTTAAAGTGAGTTATCAAATAAACATTTACATATGGTACAGACACATAACTGTTGTATTCGCAGATAAACTAAAAATGGCCTTCAACAATGTCTAGCCATACAACTGCCCAATTAGCCTCATCATCATGTTAAAGGATAAGGGTAGTAAAATTCTGTAATTTTTCTAACGTCAACATATATCTAGAAAAGACCAAACACCAATAATGAATTGATCCTACAAGTACTGTGTATCCAGAGCTTCAGATATCTTGATCCTCTGTGCCACAGAGCTCCACTATTTCCAAAAACTATTAGAAACCCATCAATGAGTCACACTGTTGCTCTGGGTGATGTGGTCCTTCGTTATGATAAACATGGGCACTGTAGTTTATTTGCAATACAACGTCCTGCAGATGGAAATACTTGTGAGTATATTGCACAGCAGTGCACGCTATATTCCTGTTTGAGTAACATTTACTAAAAACTACAGTTCCCAATTGTTTCAGGAAATTTTCTAGCATTTGTTTTTTAACCATTTAAAAGAAGCTGAGTAAAGAATATTTTTGTGGCCCCTTCTTTAAAGATTTGTCTTCCGTAGAAATGAATGGGCCGGGGTGCTACAGAGAGGATTGAGGAGAATTCACATATTGTTGGTTTTGGTCTTTTCATAGATTATTGCTGACCAAAAGAAATAGATACTTCTTTTAGCTCATGCAACTCTAAAAGGTCACTACCTTAAGATTTGCAGTAAACAGCAGTAAAATATAAAAAGCAAAATTTACCACCTTGCTGTTGTAAGGCTCCGAAAACCAGTCAAGTTTTAGGAAATATGGTCAAAATCTATCTTTCTGTTCTTGAGTTACAGCATTGAATAATGGCAAGTGGTCTTTTTTTCAGAACGTTATGTCACAATGAGGCTGACCTTTGACCTTTTAGATATAAAATGTCATATCACTTCATCATTTTAATCCTATTGGACATTTGTCTTGAATTGTGTCATGATTAGCTTATGAGTTAATGAGTTATGGCCA